GCACTGACGCACCGCTTGGCAAGCCATGCTGTGGAAAAAAAAAAAAAAAAAAAAAGAGGAGGATTGACAGATGTTAGCTCAGGGCCGACCTTCCTTGCCAAAAAAAAAAATGAAGCTCTGATACATGTTGCAACAGAGATGAACCTCAAAAGCTTATGTAAGTGAAAGAAGCCAGACACAAAGGGCCACATATTATATGATTCCATTTATATGAAACATCCAGCATGGAGAAATCCGTAGAGACCGAGAGCAGATTAGTGGTTGCCAGGGGCTGGGGGGAGAGAAGAATGGGAGTGACAGCTCATGGGTACACGGTCTCCTTTGGGGTGATGCAAATGTTTTGGAACTAGATAGAGGTGGTGGTTGCACAACATTGTGAATGTACTAAATATCACTGAATTGTCCACATTACAATGGTTAATTTCATGTTATGTGAATTTCACTTCTTTTTTTTTTTTAAGAGTACATGGTGAATGATTCCCTCTATATAAAGTTCACAAAAGGAAGCAGGTGTGACTTCTGCTGCCAACCAGACTGGAGAGGCAGAGACTGGATTTATCCTCCCGTGTAGAACAACGAGAAACCCAGATGAAACAGATTGAACAAAGGTTCCCACGACGCCAGACATGAGGTAATGCAAGACAACGAACCCTGATGGATGGGAAACGAGCGAGGGGAGCCCCAGGTCACCGCCTGGAGAGTCCAGGCTGAGGCACAGGGAGCGGCATGGAGGAGAGCACGGCAGACACCGGAGTTGAGCAGCTGGGACTCTGGGGAGACCAAAGTGGCTGGACTTCGCAGGGCAGAGGACGGGAGAGGACAGAGCCGCACAGACAGAACACTGGAGATCTATAGCGGGTCCTAAGAATGTGTGTGACACTGCACTAGCAGCAAAGGTTTCTTAGATATAACGCCCAAAGCACTATGCGTAAAAGACATTGATAAACTTGACTTCATCAAAATCAAGAACTGCTCTTCAAAAGACACTGTTGAGAGAATAAAAAGACCACACCACACACAAGGAGAAAATATTTGCAAGTCACATATCTGACCAAGGACTTGTTTCCAGAACAGATAAAGAATTCTCAAAACTCAATAATAAGAAACCAATCTAATAAAAAATATATATATATTTGAACATACACTTCACCAACGATGTATGGATGACAAATAAGTGTGGGAAAAGATGTTCAACATGATTAGCCATTAGGCAAATGCACATGAAACCATGAGATACTACTACACGCTATTTAAATGGCAAAAATTGAAAAGTCTAATCATACTCAGTCTTGGCGAGGATGTGGAGGAACTAGAACTCTCATTCACTGCTGGAGAAATGCAAAATGGTGCAAACACTTTGCAAAAACAGTTTAGCAATCTCTTAAAAAATTAAGCATGAAACTATCATATGATCCACCCATCCCATTCTTAGATATTTGCTCAAGAGAAATGAAAACATATGTTCATATGAAGACTTGTACATGAATTTTCATAGCAGCCCTATCTGTAACAGCCCAAAACTGGAAACACAAATGTCCATCAACAGGTAAATGGACGGACAAACTGGTACATCCATACAAGGGAACACTACTCAGCAATAAAAAGAAATAATCTCTTAGTATACCCTACAACATGGATGAATCTCAAAATAATTATGCTAAATCAAAGAAGCCAGACAAAAAAGAGTATATGCTTGAAAAAATGCTTCATGATTCTGTTTATGTAACATTCTAGAAAATGCAAACTAATCTATAGCAACAGAAAGCCTATCAGTGGTTCATGGGGGGACAGGAGGAAGGGATTATTAAGGAGCATAAGAAACTTTTGGGGGTGATGGATATGTTCATTAGCTTTATTATGGTGATGGTTTCATGGGAGTATGCATATGTCAAAATTTATCAAATTGTACACTTTAAACACACAATTATAGGTCAATTATACCTCAACAAAGCTGATTTTTAAAAAGTAGAATTAATTGATGCTGTTAGAAGTCAGATTGTGATTACCCTTGGTTAGGGGTGGGTAAAACTAGAAGAGGTGGGGAGAGGGGGGCCTCTGGGCGCTGGTTATGAGGACATGTTCCGTCGGTGGAAATGCACTGAGCTGTACATTTACGACTTGGGCGTTTTTCTATACATATGTGATACTTCAATAAACAGTTCTTCAAAAGAAGGCAGGCTAACAGCTGGCTACTCAGATCTGGACCAGCAACTGGTTTCTGTAAGGGGTAGGAGGGCGGGGTCAGAGTTCATGGAAGCCTGAGTCCACAGCCCAAGCTGGCGCCTGACCACGACGAGGGTGGGAGCAGGGTGGGTATAGGCACTGCCCTTACCTTCTGCCGCAGGTCTCTCATCTCTCTGGAACTTTCTCCTGGACAGTCGGGGTTGGCCGCCTGTGGTGTGGGCCCTGGATCTGGCTCTGGGGGCTTCTCCGGCTGGGCCTCTCTCTCCTCTTCCTGCCCCCAGAATGACTTCGGGCCAAACAGCTTGCGGGCGATTTCCTCAGCATTTTCCAGCCGGAGCCCCAGCTGGGCAGAGAAGCCAGGGGCTCAGGGAGGAGCGACTCAGTCACAGGAGTGATCAAGAGCTGTGGGGCCGGGCGCTTGAGCAGAGCACCCCGGGCCCCCCGGGGTCTACCCAGGCCGAAGTAAAGGGGCACAGCCTCAGGAAATCATCAAGCTCCACATCTGCTTGACAAATGTCACACGGCGAGACTTCCTACCACTTCTTTAAGGCCTGGTTCTGGGCTGTGAGCACCAAGAGGGCAGGGATTATGTCTCTCTTGTTCACTGTCGTATTCTCAGAGCCCAGCACAGTGCTTGGCACATGTCAGGTAGAGGACAGATGTTTGTGCAATGGATGACAGGTGGGTGGGTGGTTGGGTGGGTGGGTAGATGGATGGATGGATGGATGTGGACAGACATGGATGGAAAGGTGGATGAAAGGATGGATAGATGAGTGGGAGAACAGATGAAGAGATGGGTAGGTAGGTCAATAGACGGATGGATGGATGGGTGGAAGGGTAGATGGATAGATGGGTGGGTGAGAGGGTAGATGAAGAGATGGGCAGAAGAGTACATGAATGGATGGATTAGAAGGATGGATGGATGGATGGGTGGATGGATAGGAGGACAGATGGATGAACAAACATATAGATGTATGGATGAGTGTGTAGATGGATGGGTGAGAGTCCGGATGGATGGGTGGGTGTATGTACGGATGAGTGGGTGTATGGATGGATGGGTGGGTATATGGATGGATGGGTGGGTGTATGGATGGATGGGTGGGTGTATGTATGGATGAGTGGGTGTATGGATGGATGGGTTGGTGTATGGATGGATGAGTGGGTGTATGTATGGATGAGTGGCTGTATGGATGGATGGGTGGGTGTATGGATGGATGAGTGGGTGGATGGATGGATGGGTGGCTGTATGGATGGATGGGTGGGTGGATGGATAGGAGGACAGATGGATGAACAGACGTATAGATGTATGGATGAGTGTGTGGATGGATGGGTGAGAGTCCGGATGGATGGGTGGGTGTATGTACGGATGAGTGGGTGTATGGATGGATGGGTGGGTGTATGTATGGATGAGTGGGTGTATGTATGGATGGGTTGCTGTATGGATGGATGAGTGGCTGTATGTATGGATGGGTGGGTGTATGTATGGATGAGTGGGTGGGTGGATGGATGGATGGGTGGCTGTATGGATGGATGGGTGGGTGGATGGATAGGAGGACAGATGGATGAACAGACGTATAGATGTATGGATGAGTGTGTGGATGGATGGGTGAGAGTCTGGATGGATGAGTGGGTGTATGTACGGATGGGTGGGTGTATGTATGGATGAGTGGCTGTATGGATGGATGGGTGGGTGTATGTATGGATGAGTGGGTGTACGTATGGATGGGTGGCTGTATGGATGGATGGGTGGGTGTATGTATGGATGGGTGGCTGTATGGATGGATGGGTGGGTGTATGTATGGATGGATGGGTGGATGGATGGATGGGTGGCTGTATGGATGGATGGGTGGGTGTATGGATGGATGGGCAAGTGGGTGGGTAGATAGATGGAAGGTAGATGGATGGATGGGTGGATGACTGGGAGAACAGATGAATAGATGGGTGGGTGAGAGGGTAGATGGAGAGATGGGTGGAAGGGTACATAAATGGATAGATGAATGAGATGGATGGATAGACGGATGGATGATGGATGGGGGTGGATGAACAGATGGACGGATGGACAGACAGATGGATGAAGGCGGAGGGATAGTTGTGTAGATGTGTGGATGGGTGGATGACTGGGAGAGTAGATGGGTAGGTGAGGGGGAGATGGAGAGATGAGTAGCAAGGCACATAGGTGAATGAGATGGATGAGAGGGAGGGATGGATGGGGGTAGATGGATAGGTGGATGCATGGATGGGTGGGTGGGTGGGTGGGTGAACAGATAGCCAGATGGGCAGAAAAATGGGTGGGCGGGCAGATGTAGGGGGCTAGGAGTAAAAGATGTGCAAGTGGATCAATAGAGACAAGAGGCGAGGGACAGAAAGATGGACAGGTGGGATAATACCTGGCCCCAGTCCAGGAGAGGCCCTGAGGAGACTGAAGAGGCCCCCTCTTACCTCCAGGAGGTTGAAGGCACGACCAAGGGCATGGATAGTCAGGTTGGCTGTGGCAGAACGGGGGAGGAAGGAGGCTGGAGAGAAGAGAAGGGTCCCCTCCACGTTGGCTCCCAGGCTGCCAGATGCTAGAAGAGAGAGAATCGGTACACCCTGCATCCCTCACAGGGCAGGGTCTGGCCACGGAGGGGCCATAGCCTGAGACAGGGTCAGACACGTGGGGCTTCCTCTGTGGAAGGGTGGGTAACTCACCCTTAAGCCTTATCAAGGGCAGAGGGAAGGCCAGGACAGAAGAGTCACAAAGGTACCCACATGTGCGGATTGGCGGAGAGGGGGCAGCCAGAGCCCCCACTCCCCACCCCAGACTTCCCGGAGTGACTGAGGCGGTTTAGGTGCCTGAGCTAGAACGGGGCTCTCTTTCTGACTCTGTTAATTGCAGTGAGGAGGCAGCAGTCCCAGCGTGGTGCTCACCTCCCTTTTTAACTCAGGGAGAAACAGTCCTCAGATGCACAGCAACAGAACTATGCGAATTCACCCACAGTGCGGCATCATCATTGTATCTATTTTTAGGATTACCTTCTTTTTACAGAGTTAAACTGA